GGTTACAAGTGGTTATAGCACTAACTTACCTCAGGTGCTAGACAGATGACCTCGTAGCCGTCTGGGAGATAAGGGAGTGGAAATAGAAATTGGAAGCTCTTGGAAGGATAGTGGAAGCTAGAAAGGTCGATGGGCGACTTTGGATGGCAGTAGGAGGGCCTTTAACGGGCCAACCGATTCATGACAGGGCTAGGAGAGCTAGCAAGGAGGACGGAGATAGACGCTCGGAGACTCTTGAGGGCTGTTGATCAGGAGACATTGGCTAGGTATGGGACTGCGATCTGTCTCAAGGATAGAGGTCCTGTCATGGGTGTACTGCAGATCCAGAGAGGCACGGCCTTGTTGGCCGATCCCGAAGGAGAGGTTTACTTAGACACAGGGATTCTTGGGATAGAGGGAGAGCACGAGATCTGCGACCGGTACGGGATACTGGAAGTGGTAATCAAGGCAGTCGAGAGCTAAGATTGGAGGCGGAAACGAGCCGTGACAAGGAAACAAGTTCGGGCTGCCGCAGCTGTCACAGGTCCGGGCTGCAGCGACTGTCATAGGGTCAGGTTGTAACAGTTGGCAAGAATACCTAACTGCGTCTTCTGGCGGTCCAATGGTACCCGACACGATGGGGCCACAACCGACCACGGGCGAAGCGGGAGAGGAGTACAGGACATCGCCCGATCGAGCTCTGAGGGATCTGAAGGAACGAATTAGGCGAGAAGCACCGCTGAGATGGGCTGACCAAACCAATGACGAAGGGCCCGACGTAAGGGGCGAACCAGTTGCGACAGAGCCGCAGGAGGCTCTAAAGACGGGTACCTCGAGCGGACGACGAGAAGCGACGAGGCGACGCTCCCCCGAGTACGAGCGGAGGGACACCATAACGGATAGGTACAGAGACGACTGGAGAGAGAGTTCGAGGGATTCCTATTGGAGGGACAGAGATAGAGACAGGGCGCCGCCCAGGCGAGTCTTCGACCCCCAGACAGGGGAATCACATCCGCTCCCTTACGAGAGCAAGGATCGCTATATTATTACGCACAAGGCCTCAGAGCCTCCTACCTTCAAGGGCTATGGTATCACAGAATATCTGGAGAAGTGGGAGCTTCACGCCAGCCGGAGTCAGTGGTCGGAGGAAGAGATTATAGAGAACTTCCTATTTAATGTGGACCCAAGTCTCGGTAGGGAAGTTAAGGAAGCTYGMCCGAAGGATGGVAAATGGACTACGTACAAGAAGAACCTCGTTGAGCTTTACAAATTGGAGGATAACAAGCATTCCATCAAGGACCTTGAAACAATGACTCAAGATGAAGATGAGAGCGTACGGACATTTGGGATGTGTTTCCAGAAGATCTCCAACGTGCTGATGAAGAAGGGGAAGATCTCAAAGGTCGAGCGATGTACTATCTTCATCGGACACTTGTCCAAAGGTAGGCAAAAGAGTATACTTAGAGATCTTCCGCGCGACAGGCTTGATTTCCCAGAAGTCCTAAAGCTCGCGATAAAGGCAGAGGCAGACGATTACAAGGACTTGGTGTGGAGAGGGATGAGGAGACGTGACTTCTCTCTCTACAAGGAGTATGCCACWGATAGATGTCCTGATTTCAAGGACTATCCCTGGTCGGAGAAGAATGAGGCCGTGGCTGAGGAAGTGAAGGAGATACGGGACATGGTGAAGTGATTGACGAGACAGGTTACAGAGATTGTGACCACTACAGGGGCCACGGCCTACCGGGACAAACCTGGAGGRCCCTATTCACTTCGYTGGGACCGTAGGAACAACGATTCCTGGAGGAGTGTCGAGGATAGAAATCCTCGGACGCTGACTGATTATCGTACGAGGGGAAGAGAGAGAGACGATGAGCCATGGCGACGTAGGGATGATGAGATAGACCGAGACCGCAGAGATCGCGAGCCGTTTGCGCGAGCAAGGAGGCTGGATGATTACCCGCGAAGCCCTCGCTATGAGGCCGATCGGGGTAGAGGCGACTCCCGCGGCCGATGGGAGACAGATCAGGGCCGACGAGATGGATATACGGACGACAGATACGAGAGATCGGACCGAGATGGATATAGGGACGACAGATACGAGAGATCGGACCGAGACGGATATAGCGACGACAGATACGAGAGGTCGGGTCGAGATGGCTACAGAGGTGGTAGGTATGAAAGAGGAGATCGGGATTGGGAACGACAAGATGGGTCGCGCGGACGGTTTGAGCGCGGGGGAGATGCGAGAGAGTAGCACGACGAGTCGCGCGGGTGGTACAACCGAGGGGACCGACGCGACGAGTCACGAGGGCGATATGACTCGGGGGACGGCCGGAATGATTCGCGAGGGCAGTATGAGCAAGGAGGGTCTGGAGGAGACCGCCGCAACGATTCGCGCGGTCGGAATGAGAGAGGGGGATATGGCGTCTCATCAGAACCATATCCCAAGTCACCTGACCCCAAGGCAGCCAGGAGTTCGATCTCTAGAAGCGCAGACGACAGGCCATCTACTCCCAGGAACTCATGCGTCTATTGTAGAGAAGAARATCATATCAAGAGGGATTGCCCGGACCTCAAACGGGCAATAGATGAGGGACTTGTCGTGCTTGACGACCGCAAGTACGTCAAGTGGGCAG